TCATGATCGAGTTCGACGATGTAAAATCGATCCTGATGTATCGCAATTAACAGATGTGCATAATTATAGGTATGGTTCTGTATTCTTAGATCTAAATTGCTTTCTAGTGTGAAAGTTGTTTCTCGATAGGATTTGGTTTATAGTGTGTTTCTTTGTTCCATATTGGCATAGGATTTTTGTAGCTACATGGAATGTGGCTGGAAAATCTCCACCTAGTTATTTGAATCTTGAAGATTGGCTTCCTAACTCTCCTCCTGCTGACATTTATGTACTCGGGTATGTGAAACCGGTCCAGATGTATACTACACCTCAATGTGCCAATTCTTTTACATAAACTAGTAGTTTTATGGTATTGACGGAAGCCTTTTGGATCCCTTATTTTGGCCTCTTAGGTTTCAAGAAATTGTTCCTCTAAATGCTGGTAATGTTTTGGGCACTGAAGACAATGGACCGGCCAGGAAATGGCTAGCTCTCATTAGGAAGACTCTGAACAGTCTTCCTGGAGCCAGTGGTGTCTTCCACACACCTTCACCTGTCCCTGATCCACTTGTAGAACTGGATGCAGACTTTGAAGGGTCAACTAGGCAGGAAGCTTCATCTTTCTTTCACCGCCAGTCATTTCAATACCTTAGTCGTAGTATGAGAATGGATAACGACATGGCAATGCCACAACCGAGGCTTGACCGCCGCTTCAGTGTTTGTGATCGTGTTGTCTTTGGGCATAGACTGAGTGATTATGACCCTAACTTCAGATGGGGTTCCTCTGATGATGAGAACGGAGCTGGAGATTCACCCGACAATCCTCACTATTCAGAATATTCTCCAGTGTCTTATGGTGGATCTTTCGCATTGGAGGAAAGCAATAGGCCGGTGGGGCATTCAAGGTACTGTTTGGTTGCCAGCAAGCAAATGGTAGGGATATTTCTAACAGTATGGGTGAAGAGTGATCTTAGAGATGACGTTCACAACTTGAAAGTGTCTTGTGTTGGCAGAGGATTGATGGGTTATCTTGGAAACAAGGTATATCTTTTCCTATTAAACTCTGACTTGATAGCTTTTGTTGAACTAGAAATAAGGAGGCATTCTCATTTCTTTGGTTTTGCAGGGTTCCATATCTATTAGCATGTCTTTGCATCGAACCAGCTTTTGCTTCATCTGTAGTCATTTAACCTCGGGGCAAAAGGAGGGCGATGAGCTGAGAAGAAACTCCGATGTTATGGAGATCCTCAGAAAGACAAAATTTCCCAGGGTTCATGAAACAGGATATGATAATTCTCCCCAAACGATTCTAGAGCACGAGTGAGCCTTTATACATTACATTTTGACTGTATTAATGCTTGTCAGATTAATATCATAGCTTTTCTATTGACTAAGTTTTGGATATCTCTGCACAGTCGTGTTATATGGCTTGGGGATTTGAATTATCGGATTGCTTTGTCCTACCGTTCTGCAAAGGCTCTAGTTGAGATGCACAATTGGAAGTCGCTGTTAGAGAATGACCAGGCATGTTCTTTTCCTTTGTAATTGATCCTATATATGTATGTTTATTTTTCATGGAGCTTTGCATGGAAGCTGAAACTTTGATGGTATTCCAGCTTCGGATAGAGCAGAGCCATGGCCGTGTTTTTGAGGGGTGGAATGAAGGAAAAATAGTTTCCCTCCTACATACAAGTACTCAAATAATTCAGACAGATATACAGGGGACAATAGGCATCCAAAGGAGAAGCGAAGAACTCCAGCATGGTAATCAGAATTATCTACTTTATGTTCATGAGAAGAAATTGTGACATGATTGCTTTGAATAATGAACCTTTGATCTTATAATGATCATAAAACAACTGACCTGGTATTTTTGAAGGTGTGATCGTATACTGTGGTATGGACAGGGCCTCTACCAGTTATCTTATGTTCGTGGAGAGTCAAAGTTCTCAGACCACAGGCCTGTATATAGTGTATTTTCGGCGGAGGTTGAGTCTATTAACCGTAGTAGAATCAGGAAAAGCATGAGTTGCTCCAGGGCAGGATCGAGGCTGAAGAGCTGTTGCCGGTTACATGGATACACTGAACTCGGTTTCTTTTGAGAGAATCATTTAACAATCCTTATTCTGCATCACACTTTTGGAATACGACAACGCGGTATTAAGCGCATGCTTGTATATAAAGTAATCCATATATACAAAGGGAACTAAATAAAATGAAACCTTTTGCTGTTGCCATACACTAGACAATATCTATTGCTAGTTCTTAAATGGTCCCAGTTTACAGGTGAGTAAATGCCCTGCAGAAACTGTAAGATAGCGGCGATGAACGCAAATTGCCGACCTCAACCGGAAAAAGCTTGGTATTTACTTTTAATAGTTTGGATGTAAATTCATTTGACTAATTCTCTAACATGACTTTTCCTTGCTGCAACAGGTTGAAATCTGTATATTGTTAATAAAGTCCCAACTTCAGAAGATCATGGCATGCCATTGCCTGACATTTGTAAATTCCAGTGGGAAAAAATAGAAAAAGGAGAGAGATAATGGAATCAGTTGGCATTGAATTTTTGTACTAGTATTGGAAGATAAAAGCCTGGAAGCTAGAGATGTGATGTATGCTCTTTACTAGTGCATAAAACAAAAGCTTTGATTTATGTAAAACCTTCTTTTTCCAGTTGCTGCTAATCATTTTACTGATATAAAAGAGAAACTGGCTGTGTTTGAATTGATTATTTCCATCATTGTTTTTAGTACATAATCTCAAACAGTGACCTGAACTCGTCAAAAGTAAAAAAGATAAATACTTTGCTGAGATTAAAAGTAACTACAGATGTTGAGTTTCGTGTAATTATTTATCCAGGAGTGAACATGCCTGCAAAAGGCAAATGAATCCCAATTATTTTGTGCAGTTTTTGGTTGGACCAAACCAAACCTTTGGGCGATGGCAAAACTCTGAACAAACAAATTTAAGAAACTAAAGGTGGTTGATGAGGTGTGGGGTTCCTGAGAAGAAATTGCTTTTCCATTGTCCAGAATCTACGGATTTTAGTAGATATTCAAACCTGGATTTTTCTGATGTTATATGATAGTACAACAACGTTAAGATTTTTCAGTAGTGGGAATTTCCAGCTTGAATGTGGGTGATATTACAGCTTTTTAAAACGACATGCTTGGACGTTTACACTTTTTACAGTTTGAAACCATTGAAAGAGAATCTCATAAAGCCTATTCTATCCACAAATCCAGAACAACAACACATGAAAGTAGAAACAAAAATCATGGGGAACTGGGAATTCCCACCTGCCTCAACCCTTTTTTTCTTATTTTAGGATTCTTTTGTTCCTTAGTTTACAACATGAAAATGTCTGCCTTGTGACTTGTAGCTATCCAAGGCAGAAGAAGGTGACTGAAAGTAAGTGCCGAGGGGGAGCTCTTATCTTTGTCAATATCCCCTTTTAACAGCCTTGGAAATATATATATGCATAAACCTATACCGACCAACCTAAAACGAATTATTAATTATATGTATGATATCTCATTTGTGCTCAAAGTACAAATTTTGGATTATTGACATTGTCAGTTTGTCACTTCCTTCTTTGTTCTCTTCAAATATTATCAGATAAACTTTTTTAAGTAAAATCTGAAGAACTGCGAGCATATGATCATGACACCTCTCGAACACTGACAACCCTTTGAGAGGGTACCATACGTTTCGAAAAATGACATCGATATCTCTCTTCCTCACGTCAACCTTGGAGGAGGAGGGCACAAACGCAAAAGCACGCCTCTGCCTCTGAACCCCCCAACCCCACTCGTTGCTTAAGCATGCTATAGCTAGTTGGTGGTATCCTATAGGCCGCCAGGTGGTGTTTTCTCCTCTCTGCCACGTGACACTTAACGTCACCCTCTGAGAGAGGGACTGCACGTACAGTCTGAAAGCATATATTTAGGCTAGAAAAACTAACATGGGAAGGATTGGTGCATGTGGGATTACGCATAACCATGCTATGCGCGAATGCATGTGTATGCATGGGGAGTTGCCATTTTAAACGCGCTTATAGCCTTTCACTAAATGCAGAAACAGATGAACGTTCATCTAAAGTTCATTTAGGTCCGATCGATAGGGCCACCAGCGCAAGACCAACATGGTTCGAATTTTATAGCAACTGGTCCCAAACTATGAAGGTGGCAAGAGCCACTTTAGATTTTTGAGATCGAAGCGAAGGGAGAATGTTATTTGGGAGATTCTTTTGAGACCTGACAACACTGCACACCCGCACGCTTGAAAACAACATAACCTAGCTGTTGATGCAGTCCCACAAACTTAAAACCACTCAAATTAAGCATTGATTAGGTAAAAGTGATGTCATATTAAGGTCATTGCTTGTTAAACAAGGTGTCAGTTGACTCAGTTCTGATCAGAGAGCAGTAAACATGGTTGGCGTATACCTGGTGTCAAGCTCGGATCTCTTGCACAAAACCTAACACTTGTTTTTCTTTTCTGTTTAGAGAAAAAGACAACCCTCGTTTTCCACAATGTCTATCCCTCGGTTTTGGAAAGCATCTGGGATTTAACTCTGGGAAAAAAATAAAGGGTATCTTCTGAAATAGAAGGAGGTGTCACCGACGGGACGCCTGGTCTTTGGTGTCTTCTTCTGTGATACTCCCATCCCATCTAAGGCAGTCATTTTTCATTGGCCAACGTCTAGTAGTATTTTGTTAGATGTGATCTTATTTGGCTCTATGGGTCTTACGGTGAGAGTCTATGTGGAATGGAACGAAACATTCTTGGCCCGTATACATCAGATTACATGTGCTAGGCTCGTTGGAAGCCAGGAGTATTTGTTTAACACAGGCCCAACCTCAATTACATTAGGTCCCGCATTAGTTATTCGTATTCCACACCATGCAAAATTTACACAAGTACTTGGTAGCTAAGCTCAGCCATGAGCCATAGAGCTCCTGACCTTAAAACACACATGCACACACAAAGCTGAAACCGTTTTTTTCCTCTTAAACTTATTCATAGTCTCGGCTCCTTTGTTGCCTTGGTCCAGGGAAAAAGAACCCCTCGTCTTGGTTACCAAAGATCCAATCCACCACATCTTCCCTGCTCTTGAATGCCAACTCCTTGGCTTCCTTCTCGAATCGCTGCGCAAAGTTGCCCTCCCCTATAAAACAAAACCAAATTTACATGAGAAGATATACAGCAAAAGAGGCCGTCGGCTTACAAAAAACAAGGACCGTGTGTATTTTTGTTTACCTGCTGGAAGGTATCTAACATTGTTTTCTATGTTGACCTCAAAACATAGAATCTCCAGGTTCGTACGTCTAGAAGCAACAGTCACGAAAGGATGCCCTGCGGGAATAACGAAAACTGTGTCGGGCCTTAGACTTGAGCTTCTCTTCTCATAACCGGATTTACGGGATGCTTTCGAAGCTACCATTTCGATGTAGCCCTGGCCTTGCACCACAATGGATATCTTGATTGCCCTCGAGTTGTAAAATGGAGCAGTCATGGATCCCTGAACATAAAAGTAAAGAACATAGTTGATTGGACATCTGTTTGCATGCACGGGAAAAATAAGGGAGAGAAATAAGAAATTACTCTGCTGATGTTGGCATAAGAGACCCTGAGATCGAAGTCTTTAAGTAGCTTGAATTCGTCCGCATCAACTTCAAAGAGCTGGCCGTATTTGTTAGACTTTGAAGGGCGGTGCTTTCTGAAGAGATTGAATGGATTCTTTGATTGAGTACCAAATGGCCATATACCACCTCCTCCGGTACCTTCCTCACGGCTACTCATGGCCTCGATTTGTTCTTTCGAGGCTTCGAGGAAGGCGTCTTTGCCTTGTTTCTCGAAGAAACTCTCCAGCTTCTCTCTTGAAGTCTGGTTATATATGTTTTCAATAAGCAAAACTTGGCAATACTTAAAAATAGCATGGATCAAGGTAAAAAATTTACCTTGAGAGTAGCTTCAAGGATCTCAGTGCTGAATGATTCTGGTTTTGCACCTTCAGCTCCGTAAAATACATCATAATGGTCTGGACGATTGACGTGTTGCAATAACTTGACGATGAAAAGTTTCTCGATGTCATCACTGTTGACCAAATAAAGAGGAGTCCCGGCACGAACCCTGATGATATCTCCAGTTTCAATGTCGAAGCTCTGTCTCTTATCTTCATGGATCAACGTGATTCTTCCACGTCCTGTTACGAATAAAATGCAAATTACTCCGTTAAAATTTGAAGTTTTTTATATGACAATATATTTGAAGAAAAAAATGATCGATTAGAACCTTGAGTGACAACAAAGATAGCGTCGGCATCGAAATGATTCGGGACTACGAACACCCCCGGATTGGCGACAAGGAGAGCCAGTCGGTAATTCTCAATGGTACGAAGAAGATCAGAGTTTTCAGTGAATTTCGTGAGAATATCAACTCTTCCTTTCTCAGCCTTGATTGCAGTAGAGAAGTGTCGATCTTCAAGTACATACGGATTGTGCTTTTCTTCTTCTTCTTCGTATTCCTTTGTCTGTTTTTATCTTCCTCCCACTCTCTCGATTTTTTTTCTTGGTGATATTCTTCACATTTCCTCACACACTCTTGTTTCTGTTTCTCGTCGAATTTTTGCTGGACTCTTCATTGATGGGAGCATTGTTTTGGCTCAGGGTCTTGTTTGGCAACGGCTAAGCAGGCAAACAGAGCCGCTGCAGACAGGATTAAAACAAGTAAACAAGGCTTTGATTTGGCAGACATTTTTACTGGTGCTTGTTGTTGCAGAGATTGAAGTTGAACGTCGGGATTATATAAAGCGGTAAGGTGCAGGCATGCATGAAGACGGGTGTCCACTGTAAGGGTCATCGCAAGTAAATGCTGGAACACCGCGTAGTTTTGAGCTTGCATAGGGGCGAAAAATGAGGGGAATTTGCTTGGTGGCTGCTTTGAGTTGGCACTCAGGCATGAGCGAGCGATCGCATGACATCCCATGTCTTGAGAGTGGAGCCTTCACGTGGGCGTAAGTTCTTGGAAGCATACTATGTTGTCGTTTCATGGGTTATCCCAGCAGAGACTTTTGGCCTATTGTTAACCATCCTACATTGCAATCAATACGACAAAATTAGATGTGTTTTTACGGAGAAATTGGTGAGTTGCAATTTCATTAAGGAAACTATGGCACCATAAATGTTGGAAATAGTAACTACAAAACATAGTTGTTAGCACTAATTGAAAATATAACTAACAAAATAAGTTATAATAATTAAACCGTGTCATGATAATCCATTGTTTTATAAATTAATTTTACCCGAGGAGTATAATCACAACAATATTAAAATGTCCCTTGAGATTAACACAATTCTCTAAAATTTCATATACCCTGAAATGGACAAAAGCTATAGTACTCTTTACTACTGAGAATTTCGAAACACTAAATCTACAAGAGGACTGTATTTATAGGTACATTTCCCGGGAAAAAAAAAACAGAAACAAGGGCATGAATTACAAAATTAATTTATTGGTTGTAATATTACAACAATAAATCTATTCATAAACAATTGTAAGAGCTAGGCATTAAAAAGCTGTCATCTAGTGAAAAATAATCTAGATACATAGTAAAAAAATGCACAGAAAAATAGCTGTAAAGGCTGCTAAATTACAGCAATAAAATTTCTGGAAATCCAGCCAAGTCAATAACAAAAAAATTATCCATTTCAAATTGTAAAAAATATCTTTCTGACACTTGAGAAATGGACAATTTTATATTAAAAATCTCAAATAAATAATTATTTTAAAAAATAGATTACTTCAGAAATAATTTGAAAGAATGGCATCCAAATAGTTCACATCGGACTACTTCGCGGCCTGTAAACAGCGTGTTAAATCATCGCACTCTCTAACACGCGAGATACATTCGATATAGGTGCATTTTTCATGTAAATCAATAAAATAATTTGATAAAATGACATCGCACATTGCGAAGCGTGAGGTAGATTTTATGATCTAAAATATCGCGAGATTTATAGAAGACCTCGCGGCCTGCAAAGCACGAGGACAATAGATTTTCTACCCTCCTTTAGTGTCCATAGCCTTGTTCGGATACTATTTTCGGGTGGAAAACTGATTTTTTTTTTTAAAAAATTCAATTATAAACGCATAATGTTGCAATTTATCTTTAATGTGACTATAATATCATCATATATAAGACATTTTAAGCGAGATAAAAATGACGTTAAAAATGGTTAGAAATCATGGTTTTGTGAAAGAAGAAGAAAAAATGATTTGATAGACATATTGAAGTGTTATTTCTAGCTTGTAGATATTAGTGATTTCAGAACTTATATGCTTAGATGTATATTATTGCAACTTATATTTATGTTAAGGTTAATTTGATCACATACGCGATATTTTAATGGGAGTAAAAATCGTGTTGGAAAATGTTGGAATACATGATTTGGTGCATGAAGAAATCAAAAGAAATTGAAAACTACGTAATATGTGTTGTTAATTAAAAAAGAAATAATGCAAAAAGTCCATTTAATTGATATTCAGGCCTGAGTGATTGAGATATTTGTTCTTCTTTTGTCTGGGATTCCTACATATAGAACATACCATGCTTCTTGTGGACATTGGCCGAACAATTTTTATTGGGCTCGATACCCTCCAATTACATCCATGCTTCTTGTGGAGACATTCGGCGATGTAATTATCCACATTATTTTTTTCACAGTTGACGTGACGGAACGACATATGATGTAGTTCTTGATTGCGGCCACAACTTGTTCTTTTGTCCTAAAACTCATTCATAAAAAGAGTAAATAAAATTGTCAACTTACCAATAAACAAATCAAAATAAATAATGACAAATTAAAACATTATATTAACCTGAAAATCATTTCAACATAGATATCACCATCAATACGTTGATTGTATTGCTCAATGTGTGGGAATTGGAAAAATTATGGAGCGTTGAATGCTTCGATATCAATTGTTGTAAAGTGCGATGGTGACTGGTAAAAAAAAATAGGAGTTGCAGCATGTGGAACCGTTGTAGCCGCGCCGTATTCTTTCTTGTCTCCTGCTTTTAGTGGCATGTCAAGGTCTTCTGATTCATCATAGAAAGGGCCTAACTCATCATCATCAGGGTCGTGCTCCCTTATTAGTTATTCGTCAGAATGATCTCCCTCAAAGCAGAATAGTTAATTATTTTAAATTTCAAAATATATTATAATTATAATATTATTAATTATTTATTATATTTAATATTTAATATTTTGCACACATAATTTTTTATTATTTCAAAATTTACTAAATATATTACAATTATTTTTATAAAAGGAAAAAAAAGGATATGGAAATTTTAAATAAGATGCTTACATTGTCACCCCTAAGAACTTTCCAGTGCCTGATAAGCTTCTCGGCTGCTTTCCAACCCATTTTAAATCTTTAACCCAAAGCTTCAGAAATTCAGAACAAAAACAAGGAACTGAAAAGCAGAAGCAAAAAAAAAACGCGCTAGAGTTTACCTTAGAGTGCTAAAACACCGACCTTTTGCCAATGATTTGGAAGATCTGGATCGTGCTCCTTCTACGTCAGGTTTTAGGATGGCTTAATACCAAAACAAGTGCCCTTATCGAACAGGTATTTAAATTATTTTTTGACTCATCTAGGTACCTAACGTTACAAATGTTACCCTTTTAAGTGTTCGAATCATCAACAGCGTTTATTTTCCCGATAAGTGATATGTGTTATAATAACCATAGTGCCCCATTATAGAAACAATAACAAATTCTTTATACTTCATAGGAAAGATTTTGTCAACTCTCCTACTTGGTATCTTACACATGATAATAACCATAGTGCCACATTTGTAAAATTAAACACCGTATAAGATATTGAGATCAATTCTAAGTGACATAAAAATAATATAACATTTATGTGAGAAGTGTAAGTAGTTTAGGAGAAGATAATGATTAAATTGATGATTTTTTTAAATATTAAAGGTTAAATCTATTTAATTATTCTAAATTAAGACCGAAATTGATAGAAGATATAACTTTTGGGGACTAAAACTATTATTATACTAGGTTATGTTACTATTTCATCTAATATTTTACCGTCAGTGACTTGTTTATAATAATATTTTAATTAAATAACTAAATTATCACTTTTAGAAAAATGAATTTCGTTTGTAACTAAACTAATAATTGACTGACTTGGGGTGTATTTTACCCTTTCTTTTATTTTTTTTCAAAATATAATTGAAAATGTTTAATACTCAATTTTGCCCTCAAATGTATTTTTTTCAATTTAGTACCTAAACTTTTTCGCAACTTTATTACTTAAACTATTATTTATCCCATCTTACCTAAACTTTTACTAGTGTTCAATATGAATGTCCCTCCAAGTTAAGTACTTAATGTTCCACAATGCTAAATACATTATTCAATGTAGAACATACAAATGAATGTGAAACATACAAATGAATGTGAAATTCAATGCCTAATAAGCTCACACGAAGAACTTCCATCAGAGAAGGTGACTTTCAAACAAGTATAGAACACAACCTAGGTTTAATTGAACATGAAAATTGTAACTCCAATCAATAGTGTGAGTAACAACGGAGGGAAAACATAAGACGGACTCGATCCCGATGGCTGTATGACTGGTCGAATCCCTGGATTTATCATGCCCGAGGGAGCTTCTGGTTCTTCATCTTCTTCGGGTGGCAAAGCAGGTGCCAGGTCCAAGGGAGCATCAGATTCTGATCCTGAAGCTAATCATGGTTTTATGGTTTTATGTTGGAGGTAAGCTAACAAAATACTGATGCATTCATTAGAGATTAACTCCAGGGTTTAAGGGTGATGCGGCTGTTGGTGGCAAAGTTGGAGGAAGAAGGAAGGGAACAGGGCCTGCCAAAAATGTTCTTCGGATCACTTAATGCTAATTTAAATTGTCTAAATCCAAACTTATTTGGTTGCTTGTGTTATAAGTTACCTGGAGCTGGTAAAGGAGTGCCATAAGCTGCAAAAACGCAAGAAATGGAATGGTTGTCACTTATAACATACATACATGCATACATACATAAAGATAGATTAAGCTCTGTACCTTTGCACTGCACTGGTACGCTATCCATATTACAAGCTTGGGGGAGACTAATTGCCAGGGTTCTGTTTATGGGCAGTTGAATAGGTACACTTGCAGTAAAAATAAGACAAGCACAATCCATGCTGCCGCTCATAAGCGACTTCAACGAGCTGCAAGCCTGCAATAGCCTTCACTCGGCGACGATGTGCCACTCCCGCTGCTTCCGGTAATGAAATTTAGGCACGGCGTGAAGTTCGAGATAATTCAGGCGGTAGAAATTTGGCCTTCAACCGAAACAACTGAAAGGGTTGATAATATTGCAATGAGTTGGAGAAACTTGAAGCCTTCCATGACTTTGTCAATGAAATTGCAATCAGTATGGTAAAAGCCATGGAAATGCGAAGGATTTATAGTTTTGAGTCTTTGAGATTGCTGCAAGCAAAAAAAAACCAGGCAGCTTTGAATTGGGTACTGCAGATCAACTACTTCAACTAATTTCCTCACTGAAGTAATCATTCTTTTTTTATGTTGTGATGAAATCACAAGCAGTTCAAGGTAGGTCGTTTGCCATGTTATTTATGTTTATGATCAACTCGATCGATCAATTCTAGCAGCCATGGCTACTTCCTCTTTGGCTCTCAGTTGAAAGGGAACCCAGTCTGCATCTTCCTAGCATCTTAAAAAACAAGGGTTTTATGCACTGTTATCCTTTTTTAATAGTTTAGGACAATGGCTGTCGTTTTCTTTTGGTTGCCAATAGATTGATTAATTGGAGTCGGTCATCCGAATATAACCAATCCATTTGTCAGTTACCTCAAGGACACCATTAAATAACACTCAGCAAGTAAACCAAAGTCTTCAAATCCAATCAAACAATTTGACTTTCCAGTTTCTATTGGCAGACACTATTTGTAACACAAGGAAATGGCAGCAGGAAGAGTTGAGATGTGTCTAATTCAATCCTCGCTGCAACGCCTATGCGTGGTGGTTAACGGTGATCAATCGTTGCCGCAATGCCTTAGCGCGGTGGTTAACGGTGGGGCTGCAAACTAAATTTTTTTAACGTCAACCATTTAGGCCAACCAATATAGACTTGGGTGTGCCGTTGTTTCCCCTTAATTTGTTTTGAGAAACTAAAGCTGGCTGTAAATATTAGGCTCAAGACCTGCCATGGAAGGATGGTTGAGCTTCTTGAAATTGTTCAACCAAAATCAACCCTGACTTAGTAAAAGTTGGCCACCCGAATGCAACCACTACAGTATGATCTGTTGCCATGAAACCTGCTATATATGTGCCCAACTTTCCCTTTGGGGAAGACATGGTTCCATCCCTTTTTTACTCAAGCCTTTTAGTACCACTTATAACTTGCTCCTTGCTACAAACTGAACCTCCAAAATGGCTTTAGAATATGTCAAGTTGGGTCTAGCCCTGGTTTTTGTGACCATTCTTTGTGAATTAGCCACGGCTCAGTCCGGTTGCAGCAGCGTGCTCCTAGGTTTAGCCCCGTGTTTAAACTACATTATGGGAAGCTCGACGACCCCGGCATCGAGTTGCTGCTCTCAGCTTTCTAGCGTGGTTCAGTCGCAGCCTCAGTGTCTTTGCTCGGCACTCAAAGGCGGGGGCTCATCGTTTGGTATTACCATTAACCAGACCAAAGCTCTGTCACTCCCTGGAGCTTGCAAAGTCCAAACGCCACCGGTTAGCAGGTGTAACGGTAAGGTCAGGCTAAACATATAAGCCATATTCCCCAAGAAGTTAAGCTAATTCGACTGTTTACCAGGTGCTAGTGGTCCAGCAGCTGTCCCATTGAGCTCTGCAGTAAATCCAACAGCTGATAGTTCGGACGAGACACCAGACACACCGGCTACATCATCATCGATGCCGATCATTCCTTCAGGTAGACACCACTCCCAAGTTCCTGCAAAAGAAGGCTACGAATCAAACGGAAGTAGCATGAAAACGCCGCTTGCTCTCACTCTCGTTATTTTCATCTTTATATTTGAAGCGTTTTATGTCAACTAGGAGCTCCCTTACCTACTATACAAACAGTGGCCATTTGTATTCCTGCTTTATCATGTGTGCTCAATGGAAATTATATGAGAATCCATTGCCATTTGAGTAAATATATTTGATTCCATTAATTATTTAACGTCGGAGTGACTAGAAAAATTTAATCTATAAAGTTTAGTGCGTAAAGTAAAAAAATTAAAAGTACAATAAGTGAAATAGGAGAAAGAATAAAGTTCAATTGTTAAACGTTAAAATTTATAAAACACAACCTTCAATATGTCGGTAACGCAGGCTTCGATATGGTCCCTTATCGGTAACTTTTTCCCCCTAAAATTTTGATAAAAAAGTTATTCATATATTAAATTTGGATTTTAAATTAACTAAAAATTTAATAATAAATTATTTATCATTCCATTGGTGATTCAATTATTAAGCTTCTTTATTCATGAAATATAATACCTTTTTTTATTATAAAGTGTATTTGCATGTACCAAGAAAGATATGTATTGCTTCTTACAAATTAATATTATGCTTAAAGGATCAAATGTATGTCCGTGACACCCCCACGGTAACCTAAGCTTAGGTACCTATTTGAATAATTATAAAGTTTATTATAAAATTTGAATAATTATCTTTGCTGTGCCACCAAAATAAAATACAAATAATTGGTATAATCTTACTTAACCTAAGTTTTATTCAATTAAATCAATTAATTGATTTTCTTTCATATTAACCCTTGAATCTAATAATTTTATATTTTTAGTCCATTTAACGGTAACCTTATAAAATTATAACTCATTAAATTAGAATATCACCTTAATAAAATATCAAAAATTAAAACTCAGAATTGATATAAAAATCATTAAATTCAAGTAATAAATATTATTTTATTCAAAGCACACCTAAAAAATATTAGTAAAAAGGGTAAACTCTGAATTTAGTATCTAAACTATCAGTTTTGGTCAGTTTTAGTATCTAAATTTCAATTTTTTTCAAAATCATACTTAATGTTTTTTGTTTCATTTTAGTAACCCACAGTTAAAGACTTAACGCATTTAGTACCTAAACTATCAGTTTTAATCTATTTTAATATCTAAACTTTTATTTTTTTTAAATTAAAATTTTGAACAAGGTATTAAAATAAACAAAAATTAAACCTTAAGTATAATTTTAAAAATGATTGAAAGTTTCAATACTAAAACAAATCAAAAGTGATAGTTTATGTACTAATCACGAAATTTACTTAACAATTTATGTCAGTTGATTCTGCCTCCCTCTCTCTCCCTCTCTCTCCCTCTCTCCTTATCTCCGTTGTCGCATATCGTGTCTTTCCTCAGGCAAATTACACGCTACCCTTTGCCTTTCTCCAGTTCTCTCGTGGAAGGAGCTTAAATATTATCAGCATGAGGAATTATCATGGTGTCGTAACCGGTTTTCGTCCGGGCACGAAATATTTATTTAGCGGGAAAATTGATATGAATAAATGGTTTTGAAAATAATTTGGGAGTCGCCATCGGCCTTTTGGGTCAGGTAAGTCGAATACCTAAAAATTATTTTTTTAAAAGAGTTTTAAGAAAACATCAATTAAAAAAATGAACTGATCTGCGTTTATAACCAAAAATTCATTCTTTTTAATAATAAAAAGGGATTCGTGGTCGGTTACGTTTAGGGAATGATTAGTACCCCTACAACGCCCAAAATTGGTACTTTTTAATTATAAATTGTCTCTATTATTGGAAATTTAAAAATTCAAAGATATATTTAATTCATAATTCTACTATTTCAAATAATTTTAAGAAAATATATTAATATACATAAATAAGATATTTACTTATTTAGAAATATCAGAAAAGGACTTCTAGGTACCTTAAGACAGCTCTTTTCTTCGAAAATAAAAATAAATATTAAAAATGTAATAAAACTAAATTATAATTTTTATAATATTTAGTTATTTAAAATACCAGAATAGGACATCCAGTTGTATTAAGACTGCCCTTTTCTTTGATATTGAAAATAAATAAACATTATTAAATAAATAAATAAATAATATATATATTTATAATATAGTAAAACAATAATTAAAGTAATGATTTAAAATATATTAAAATAATAAAAATTAAATTAAGTTAAAATATAACTAAACAATGACTAAAATAAATAAAATAAAAATAAATGTAAAATTATTTAAATTAATGAACATAATTCGAATCATCATAAAATAAAATTACTAATAGTGTAATTAATCCTTAATTAATTAATCAGTGATTAAAATAAAATTTATCAAAGTTTAAAGGCTCTATCTCGAATAAATAAAGACTCTAAGTGCTAAAAATGTAATTTAGCCTTATTTAATTAATCGGGTTAAAATAAATGTTAATAAAATTATAAGGTACTAAATCAGTTATTTACCCTAAATATATATATAAACTGATAATGACTAAAATGTAATAAAATAAAATTGAATGACATAATTAAAAGAATCAAAACTTGCTTTCAGTGACTAATTTGTAATGTTACAAACTCGGAGTGACTGCGGAAAGGGTTTAGCCATACATGTAAATTACGCATATACCCCTTCCCAAAACGACGTCGTTCGGGAAGGGATATATATACCCTAAACGCCTGGCCCGAAGGGCCAAGCTTTCCCATTTCTTTCTTTTCTTTCTTTTTCTAAGAGAGAAAGCTCTCTCTGCTCTCTCTAAACTCTCTCCCCGGAGAGAGAGCTGACCACCGGCCGGCAACCATGATCCGCGGCATGTTCCGCCGCCGGCCACCGCCTCCGGTGGCCGGAAATTCCCAAATTTACCTAAAGTATAGATCTAAACGCCCTAAGACCGATTCCGGTCTTTGTTTTCCCTAAAAGACTCCTAATCGGAGTAAATCTACGAAAATACCTTCGGTATTTTCTGTTCTCCGGCGATGTTTAGTGCTTCCGGCGATGGTCAAGGCTCCAAGGGTAAGTTTCTTTCTTCTTTCTTTGTTTTCTGTTTTGGTTTTCTGCTGGTTGTGGGTTCGTGGCTCGTCTCTGTTGCCCCCTCTTTTATTTTGCAGGTAACGGTGGCTTTTATAGCCACCACAGTGCTCCTCTCTTACTGGTTAAAGAGTGGAAACTTTGGTGAGTCACCAAACTATGTGGTGACTCACCCCATAGCTGAAACGTGGACGGCCGGCGTGATGCTTCTGGAGTCTTCGAAGAGGCGGTGATGTCATGGCTACAGCGGTGATGTCATGGCTACAGCGGGGTGGAACACCTGGAGGTGGCAGCTGAGCTCTTCTGGAAACATGAGGCGGCGCTGCGCGGGGCTTCTGGAAACGGCGGATGATAACCTAGGGTTAGGAAACCCTAGGGTTTCCTTTGCTGGAACCGTCTGTGGACCGTTGGATCTCTCAGATCCAACGGCTGAGATCATTGGCGGCTGGCTGAGAAGAATGAAACCCTAATTGGGTTTAGGGTTTTTGTTAGGCCATTTCTGATTGGAATTGTAAACGGGCTTCGGGTTTTGGGCTTGTAAAATGGGTCTCCGGGTCCTTTGGGCTTGTAATAATTATTTAATAATAATATACTAATAATAATATTTAATAATAATAATAATAATAAATTTAATAATAATAATAATAAATTTAAATGGAAAAATGATGTCTACAGCTGCCCCTCTTTGCTCATCCTTGTGTTAGCAAGAATAGAGTAAAGACGAAAAAGACAATATTTTTTTCATTTGGCTTCTTTTGAGTAGGATGGAAATGTTTGAAAACATCATGCACTGAAGGGCTTACAGATGACCCGAAGGCTTTGAAAACATCAAAAAGCTCCCGAAGGCTTTTTGGAAACATCATGCACTGAAGACTTTGAAAACATCAAAAAGCTCCCGAAGGCTTTTTTGGAAACATCATGCACTGAAGGGCTTACAGATGACCCTGAGGCTTTGAAAACATCAAAAAGTTCCCGAAGGCTTTTTGGAAACATCATGCACTGAAGGACTTACAGATGACCCGAAGGCTTTGAAAACATCAAAAAGCTCCCGAAGGCTTTTTGGAAACATCATGCACTGAAGGACTTACAGATGACCCTGAGGCTTTGAAAACATCAAAAAGCTCCCGAAGGCTTTTTGGAAACATCATGCACTGAAGGACTTACAGATGACCCGAAGGCTTTGAAAACATCAAAAAGCTCCCGAAGGCTTTTTTTTGGAAACATCATGCACTGAAGGACTTACAGATGACCCTGAGGCTTTGAAAACATCAAAAAGCTCCCGAAGGCTTTTTGGAAACATCATGCACTGAAGGACTTACAGATGACCCTGAGGCTTTGAAAACATCAAAAAGCTCCCGAAGGCTTTTTGGAAACATCATGCACTGAAGGACTTACAGATGACCCTGAGGCTTTGAAAACATCAAAAAGCTCCCGAAGGCTTTTTGGAAACATCATGCACTGAAGGACTTACAGATGAGGCGAAGGCTTTGAAAACATCAAAAAGCTCCCGAAGGCTTTTTTTTGGAAACATCATGCACTGAAGGACTTACAGATGACCCTGAGGCTTTGAAAACATCAAAAAACTCCCGAAGGCTTTTTGGAATCATCATGCACTGAAGGACTTACAGATGACCCTGAGGCTTTGAAAACATCAAAAAGCTCCTGAAGGCTTTTTGGAAACATCATGCACTGAAGGACTTACAGATGAGGGAAATAGTTTACTAAGTAAAAAAAACTAAGGAAATCGTTTTCTTACTTTTCAACAATTTCATTTTTAGAAAAGATTGAATGAGAAACTATGGAAATCGTTTTCTCATTATTTTTCAAAATAACATGTTGATTGGGTAACATGCCCCAATCTCAAAATAATGCTCATTTTTGTGGATTACGTCCATCTATTCTTCAGATGTTCGCGTGATTACTGTATTTGCGATTTTGAATACCTTCTTTTTGTAAGGTATTTCTTATCATGAATCTTCTTGTTCTTCCGAAGATCTGTAAAACTTCATTTTTGAATGCACTTAGATGTATCAATGTAATGCATTGTCTATTGTGTAAATGATGTTTTTATGAATGCATGAATGTTGATGCA